AGGGGACCTGGACCTTGTCCTGAATGGGGCTGCACTCCCTCTTAGGGACAAGGTTCACAGCTTGGGAGTGCTCCTTGACCCAGAGCTGTCATTAGAAGCTCAAGTGACAGCGGTGGTGAGGAGTGCTTTCCTTCAGCTTCGGCTGATCCATCAGCTGCGTCCCTACCTGGAGAACAATTGCCTGGCGACAGTGACACATGCACTGGTAACTTCCCGATTAGACTTCTGCAACGTGCTCTACGTGGGGCTGCCCTTGAAGACGGTCCGGATACTTCAATTGGTGCAAAACAGAGCTGCCAGGTTGCTGACGGGGACTGGGCATTGTTCTCATATAACCCCAGTCCTCTGTCAGCTCCACTGGCTTCCCATTGAAGCCCAGGCTCAATTCAAGGTGTTGGTTATGACCTATAAAGCCCTAAACGGCTTGGGACCTGGATATCTAAAGGAACGCTTGCATCCATATATGCCCTCCCACCCCTTGAGATTGGCAGCAGAGGCCCTTCTCCGGGAACCCTCCGTGAAAAGATATTAGGAAGGTGAGTACCCGGAGGAGGGCCTTCTCTGCAGTGGTGCCCCACCTATGGAATGCGCTCCCCAGAGAGGTCCGCCTGGCGCTGTTGTTATTTGTTTTTCAGTGCCAGGCCAAGACCTTTTTATTTAAAAGTTATTTTAATTGTTAATTTATTGATTGCATTTATTGGGTTTTTATATATGTGCTGAGATGTTTCCAGATTTTTAAGGCTAATTATATAATTGTTTATGTTGTAAGCCACCCTGAGGCTTTTTGTGAATGGGGCTGCATAGAAATTGTTTAAACAAATAAATAAGTTGGGTGGGCACATGCTTCCCCCTTCAACAGGCTGTTTGTGACGTGTTGCCTGACAAAGAGATCTGGAGATCCTGAAAGCTTGCATATTTTTGGTGAAATGTTGGTTGGTCTAATAACAAAGTATTGTGCTAACAAGGATCCAAGCAAGCATTCTTTCTGCAATGCTGACTTTCTGCAATTCTGGAGGAAGCCTGTATCTGCCCCTAGATTTCAGTCTTATGGACCTGATCCACCTGTGACTGAGTGCATTAGCTTTTGTATTTTCTTGTGCAGTGATAAGCTGCCCAATGGGTTCTTCCATGGATCAATGAGGAAAAACCACCCATAGATCATTTACAGCCCCCTCCCTACCCTCAAGCAGAATAAGCAGGGTCCAGAGCATCATTCAAAGTGCTCCTCTCTGCCTGGCCATGCATTTTAACTCTCCTTGATCACTGGACAGGAAGTGTGGCATGAGGTTGGGGGAGGGTGTGTTTGGAAATACACAACGCTAAAGCATCCTCAGGTATGTAAAAGTATTTGGAAAGTTCTTTGCCTTTTGGCCAAAAGCCTGTGTCTTCCTTCAGCCAAGAGGATGGGTACAAGTCTCACCTGGGCATGAGACTCTAAACATCTCAGTCCAAATGTTATTTTTAAACCTTTTCCACACCTTTAAAACTAGTGTGTGATCTTCTGCACAGCTGTAATGTGTGAAGAGCACTGACGTGATCTCCAGGTTGCTGCCAAATTACCCCAGTCTTGAAAATAAGTCCTCTTGACAGGCAACTCTTATGCCAGCCTTCCTCTAAGGTGCTCGAGGTAGTAGGCGCCTCCCCTCGATTCCTCCCAACATCCCTGTGACTGGCTGGCTAGGCAGCGCGTGCGAGGCTCCGCGGGCCAGGTCGCCCAGTGAACTCTGCTGCCAAGCGGGAAACTGAACTAAGTACCCAGTGTGGTTGGGCGCCCTCCAGCTCTGCTGGACTACATCTCCCAGCATCCTCCAAACAGTCTTGCTGGAGATGCTGGGATATACTGTTGTTGTTGTTAGTCGCGAAGTCGTGTCCGACCCATCACGACCCCATGGACAACATCCCTCCAGGCCTTCCTGTCCTCCACCATCCCCCAGAGTCCACTCAAGTTCACACCAACTGCTTCCGTGACTCCATCCAGCCACCTCATCCTCTGCCGTCCCCTTCTTCTTTTGCCTTCCATTGTTCCCAGCATCAGGCTCTTCTCCAGGGACTCCTTCCTTCTCATTAGGTGGCCAAAGTATTTGAGCTTCATCTTCAGGATCTGGCCTTCTAAAGAGCAGTCAGGGTGATCTCCTCTAGGACTGACCGGTTTGATCGCCTTGCAGTCCAAGGGACTTGCAGGAGTCTCCTCCAGCACCACAATTCAAAGGCCTCAATCCTTTTGCGCTCAGTCTTCCTTATGGTCCAGCTTTCACAGCCATACATTGCAACTGGGAAAACCATAGCTTTGACTATACGCACTTTTGTTGGCAGGGGGATGTCTCTGCTTTTTAGTATGCTGTCTAGATTTGCCATAGCTTTCCTCCCCAGGAGCAAGCATCTTTTAATTTCTTGGCTGCAGTCCCCGTCTGCGGTGATCTTGGAGCCCAGGAAAATAAAATCTGTCACTACCTCCATTTTTTCCCCATCTATTTGCCAGGAAGTGAGAGGACTGGATGCCATGATCTTAGTTTTCTTAATGTTGAGTTTCAAGCCAACTTTTGCACTCTCCTCCTTCACCCGCATCAAGAGGCTCTTTAGTTCCTCTTCACTTTCTGCCATGAGAGTGGTATCATCTGCATATCTGAGGTTGTTATTTCTCCCAGCAATCTTAATTCCAACTGGTGATTCATCTAGCCACGCCTTTCTCATGATGTGCTCTGCATATAAGTTAAATAGGCAGGGTGACAGTATACAGCCTTGCCGAACTCCTTTCTCAATTTTGAACCAATCAGTGGTTCCATGTCCAGTTCTCACTGTTGCTTCTTGACCCGCATATAGGTTTCTCAAGAGACAAATAAGATGGTCAGGTACTCCCATCTCTTTAAGAACTTGCCACAATTTGTTGTGATCCACACAATCAAAGGCTTTAGCATAGTCAATGAAGCAGATGTTTTTCTGGAACTCCCTAGCTTTCTCCATGATCCAGCATATGTTGGCAATTTGATCTCTAGTTCCTCTGCCTCTTCGAAATCCTGCCTGTGCTTCTGGTAGTTCTCGGTCCACATACTGCTGGAGCCTAGCTTGTAGGATTTTGAGCATCACTTTGCTAGCATGTGAAATGAGTGCAATGGTGCGGTAGTGTGAACTTTCTTTGGCATTGCCCTTCTTTGGGATTGGAATGTAAACTGACCTTTTCCAATCCTGTGGCCACTGTTGAGTTTTCCAAGTTTGCTGGCATATTGAGTGTAGCACTTTAACTGCATCGTCTTTTAGGATTTTGAATAGCTCAGCTGGAATACTGTCGCCTCCACTAGCTTTGTTGTTGCTCAGACTTCCTAAGACCCATTTGACTTCACATTCCAGGATGTCTGGCTCGAGGTCAGTGACCACCCCATCGTGGTTATCAGGGATGTTAAGCTCTTTCTTGTATAGTTCTTCTATGTAATCTTGCCACCTCTTCTTAATCTCTTCTGCCTCTGTTAGGTCCCTGCCATTTTGGTCCTTCATCATGCCCATCTTTGCATGAAATGTTCCCTTTATATCTCAAATTTTCTTGAAGAGATCTCTGGTCCTCTCTATTATTTTCTTCTATTTCTTTGCACTGTTAATTTAAGAAGGCATTCTTATCTCTTCTAGCTATTCTCTGGAATTCTGCATTCAATTGTTTGTATCTTTCTCTTTCTCCCTTGCCTTTCACTTGCCCTTCTTTCCTCAGCTATTTGTAAAGTTTCCTCAGACAGCCATTTTGCTTTCTTGCATTTCTTTTTCTTTGGGATGGTTTTAGTTGCGGCCTCTTGTACAATGTTGCGAACCTCCATCCATAGTTCTTCAGGCACTCTGTCTATCAGATCTAATTCCTTGAATCTATTTGCCACCTCTACTGTATATTCATCAGGAATATGATTTAGGTCATACCTGAGCGGCCTAATGCTTTTCCCCACTTTCTTCAATTTAAGCCTAAATTTTGCAACGAGAAGCTCATGATCTGAGCCACAGTCAGCTCCTGGTCTAGTTTTTACTGACTGTATAGAGCTTCTCCACCTTTGGTTGCAGAGCACATAGTCAGTCTGATTTCTCCACAATGGGACTGGAAGGGCCTCTTCTGAGCCTGCGTGGGGGCACAAGGGCACATGGGGTGGGCAGGGAGCCCCAGGCCCAGGTGGGGGCACTACTGAGCGGGGGCCACTATCCCAGGTCATTTACCAGGGCAAATGGTCCCGACCTGTCGCAGCCTGTCAGCCCAACCCACCTTACAGGGTTGTTGTTGTGGGGAGAAGGATAATGCTGTAAGCCAGTCTGAGTTCTTTAAAAAGAAAAAGAAAAAGAAAGGAAAAGATGAGATAGAAAGCTGGAAAATATGACAAGCATGAATCGTGTGGGAAAGCAAGGACCTCAGTTTGGCAACCAAGTGCAGCCGGGTCCGAGCAACCGCTTTTCCCATAGCAACCTCCGGCTCTGAAAAGGCTGGACGCGAGGAAGGTGGCGACTCGGGGGGGCTGTGGTGCTGGCAAGGCTCCTGCGCGTTCCGGGGGCAGTGGGGGGCGGGGGGCAGCAAGCGGGACCAGAGCGTGGCAAGGTCGGCGGCTGGCAAGGCTGCGGCTCGCGGGTTCTGGCCGGGCCGTGCAAGCAAGCCGTTCGCAGAGGTGATGCTTGGCGAGCTCAGCGGAAGAGGAAACCAGCTCGCCAAAGAGCGAGGTGGCCGGACTCCACCGAAGAGGATGCGGCCGGAGCGCAGGCCGCTGAAAGAGGCAGCTCGGACCGGACAGCGCGGCGAGATTTGGCCCACAGGGTCGCTTGTCGACATGCACCTGGGAGGTACGTCCTGAGTGCAGCCGGCTGGAGCCGAGGGTCACACTGGATGGCCCCAAAGGCCCCCGTGGACTCGCTCTGCTTCCATGTTACGTTTCCCTGTTTATAGTCGGAGCGACCGACAGGTAAATACCAGGCCAGGGCCTCTCTCCCGAGCGTTTCCCTGGCGACCGCCGGCCTGGACTTCCGCCCCCACTTCCGCCCCGTGCCTGCCATAGCGGAGCCCGCCCTTGGAATCACGTGAGCAGGAGCCGCTCGCTCCGGTGCGTGGGCCCCGGGGCGCTGTTGCTAGGCAACGCGCTGTGCGACCTCCCCGAGCTCCGAGACCGCAGCCGTCAAGCTCGGTCGGGCGGGCGGGCTCCGCGGCCGCCGCGCCGCACTCGAAGGCCCGAGGGTCTCCGGAGCGGCCGCCCTAAGAGGAAGGGCGGCAGGCCGGCCCGCGCCGCGCCGCGCGCCCTCAGGCGGGGGCCCCTGGCCGCGGCGCCCGGCAAACCCGGGCACGCGCTGCGGGCGCCAGGTCGGAGGGCTGTCCAAGGAGACGGCCACGCTCTTCGAGGAGAAGGCCTCTCGTGCGGCAGCTCCGTGCAGCCGCACCAGCCGCTGGGGGGCTTGGCCCGGAGGGGTGTTGCGCCCCGGGCCTGCTAGGGGTCCCGTGGGCGGCTGGTTGACCGCCGCGTAAAGGGAACGCGGGACTAGAAGGTCAGATCCAGCGTGGCTCCGTCACCAGAAGCCGCAGCGCAGTGAAGTGGCCTGGGGGAGGCCCTGAACAAAAGGACCCCCGCCCCCCCGGGAGTGGGAAACGCTGTGTGCGAGCGCACACTGCTGGCTGGCGCTGAGCGTGTGCTAAAAATGCAGTAAAAGGAAATACTTACTGCGCCTAGTAATTATGCTGCCCTTCCCAAGGAAATGGCGTGATGTGACAAGCGGGTTCGCTTGGACTGTCTGGAATAATAAGCCTTAAAGGGTGTTTGTGGTACATGATAATATAACACAGCACAGCCTGTTGCTGTACAGTGAGATCAGGATCCCAGTTTATCAGACCTGGAATGAATTGTGTGCTCACTTTTGCAGATCCAGCACCAACTGCTATCCTGGTTTGTTAACATACAGTTTTTTAGGAAATTAATCTGGCAAGCCACGATATCAGTGACAAAGCTGGGCATGCAAATGGCCGCAAGCCTCATTCCCGGTTCACCTGTCGGTTCACAGTGTACAAATCTAAAACCGGCTCATGTTAGAGTTGTGCTGCGCTATGCTTACTGATAAACTGCTTTTGGATTTTGTAGGGCATGATGGACTTTTTGACTCTGTTCCTTATTTATGTGTTTCTGGTTCTGCTGACCATTCCCATTATCTGTATGCAAAGGATGCAAAGCTCTCCTTCAAGATTTATCACTCGGATAACACTGGTAAGTAAGAGGTAGTTGTATTGGGTTCTGGAGTCTCCCTTCTCCCCGCAGCCTAATCACATAAGTCTCTCTGGTATGCTGTGTTGGTCTGAACCTCATGTTCCTAGCAATGAAAAAGAATGATATTCACCCTCACTGTTTCTGGCAGTTCTTCCATCACACTGTTTTCTGTTTCTTGCTTCCAGTAGCTAACTTACACAAAACGTAATCGACTCGTCCAGCTGTTCTTGTGTTTCCATGCTGCATGTTCGTAGAAGTTTTTAGTCGGTGGCACTCAGTTTCATGACAAGAAATGGAGGTGCTTTTCTGTTGCCAAAATATGTCAGAAGTGGATTACTTGTTGACTCAGCTGATGGGACTTGTAAACCAGAGCACCTTGAGAGTCACAAATTGCTGTTGCATTTTCTTCGTTCACTTTCATCAGGAGTAATTTCCATCCTAAATTGGGACAGGACCAAGAAGTACATGTTTGTTCCGCTGAATGCTTTCAGTTTCAAGACAAAGTTAGGATTCTGTCTGGTGGCACTAGTTCTGCCACAAGCGTGCAAAGAAGTATACATAGATGGTGTTACTTTGTCTGACCCACCCATTTTCTTTTAATATTTGTGGCTGCGTCTTCATCGAGGCAGGTGCTTGCGTGCGTAATCCCAGCCCAAGTCCAAGGAGCTACCCAGAGGCTGCTTTGTGGACTCTTTTGTACCAGGTATTTCTCATTTGTTCTGCTTGTCTTTGCTCATTAGCATGAATAGGCTTTGGGATCACCACAGATTTGCAGGGTAGCTTCTGAAAGTCTGTCCACCCTTTCTGTGCTGCTCGGGGGTCTAAGACTGCCTGCATAGCCACTTGCCTCTTCAAAATCACCACTGTTCTAGGTGGCAGTGCTGATCCTTAAACTTTACTGGATTCCTCTGACCTGTGCCTTCCTTTCCAGACTGCTTGGGTGATCCTGCTCAAGTCACAGTTGTTTGCAACAGGAGCAGTGCGAGGTGCGACAGGACTTCCCTTCTGCTACACCAGAGGCTGTAGGCTGTAGGATCTAGGCCAAAGTATCACAGGACTTTCTTACTTCCTACTGGTGGACCAACCTCCTTTAATGCATCTCTTTTCTCTTGCTGCAGAAACTATTTATTTGTGGTCTTGCATTTGATCTTGGAAGTTATGGTATATGGCGAGTACACCTGGGAAGTGTTTGGCTACTGTAAGGAGCTGGAGTACAGCACTTCCCTTCTCCTGCTGCCCTACCTGCTATTGACTATGAATATGGTTTTCTTCATTTTGTGTTCCAAGACAAATCCTGGTAAGATGCATTTTATCTGAAATCTGAGCTGTTGCACCATGGGGTGAGGCCCCCTAGCTGGCCTAGCTTATAAAATGGTGAACTGAGCAACTTCAGACTCTTGCTGGGCTCCTGTGAGTGATTGTTTCTCCACCAAACTAAATACATCCTCTCACTTAGACTGAGAACTAAGATTAATGAGAAATGTCTAGATCAGAATTATCCCTGACCTCCTAATTTTCCATGTAGGATTTGCAAGAAATGAGCATTGTGTCATACAGTGTATTTCACCAGTGTTATCTCCTCACCTGTGCATGCAGTACACTGGACTTGATATGGATTGGACTGGCTGGTGTCTGGACATGTGTGGTAGTCACAGACTTCATCTGCCTTTTGCCAGGGAGCTCTTGCGTATGTGCGGTGATGCTGAACTGAGATCTCAAGCCACAACCATTTAGCCATTCCTTTGGTCAAAGGCTGGAGGGGAATTACATGGTTTGGAATACATTGTCCATGGGGCTGTCTTAGAAGATGCTTCAGAAACTTCATCTAGGTCAGAATACAGTTCCAAGACTTCACTTGAACCAGTTGGTGCCAACACATCTCATCAGCTCTCAAACATCTTCACGAAGTACTTATGCATTTCCAAGCATAATTACAAGTTGTGAAATTCCCTCTAAGGTTCCAGCTGTCTCTAAATGGCCAGCACTCAGGCTGTGTGAAAGGAACGCCTGCCTCTACGTCAGTGGGGCTATGCAGCGCAGAAGTAATTGAAAGTCCTCTGGCTGCCTGAAGAAAGGATGGTGGTGACGACGGCAAGGGCCTTTCCAGGTTGCTGCCCTCTTTTTTGGAACTCTCTCTCCAGGGAGGGTTTTTCTGGCACTAGGTGAAAAAGTCCTTTTTATCCTCTGCTTTTAATTAATAGAGTAACAGAATAATAGTACTGTAAAGTTGGAATGACCCAGTAAGAACATCGAGTTCAACCACCTGCTCAATGCAGCAGTCCAAGTTAAAGTATTCCTACCAAATTTTAGGGATTGATCCCGTAAAGGAAGCCATAGTCTTGCGATTACAAGAGCAGAGGGCATTCATTCGTAGGGCAGCCATTAGTTGGAGACAGCCTGATGACATGTAGCAATCACAGGTGGCTGTCCAGCTGCATCTTGAATGCCTCCAGAACTGTTTCTGTGGCCTCGCGAGCGAAGTGGTTCCACTGTCCTACGACTCTAATAGTGAGGGTTAGCGGGTTAACATCCTCTATGCAACAACTTTTCAGGTACTTGAAGAATGCTATCATATCTCCCAGTCTTCTCTTTCCCAAGCTAAATATGCCCAGTTTTTCCAGGCTCACTTCACAGGGCTGTGTATCCAGCTGCATCGTAAACAAACATTTCCAAGAATACGTGTGTTCTCTTACCTGATACTTGGCTTGGCAGGAGAGTCATCTAGTTGTATCTGACATGTTCTTGATGAGAAACCATGGAAGAGTTGTGGCAGCAATTGGATGCATTTCTTTGCACAAGGTGGTCATGATAGCCAAAGCAAAAGTGGGGGGCAATCCAAGTGGCATTCTCTTCCTGTCTCTGGTACAGCCTACATTGTGCAAATGTGACCTGCTTCATTCTTTGAATAAGCAAGCACCTGCTCCTTGGCTTGCCCTCAAGGGGGCTGACGGCTGACAATCTGGGGGAGTTGTTCTTAGGTGGTTTATTCTTTTCAGCAGTGGTTTGAGCAGGGAATTGTGTTGATAAGGGAAAGATGCAATTTGGAAGAAAACAAATCAGAATGCTTCTCTTAGAAAGTATTTCTCTCCTTCTGGCAATGGCTCTGACCAGTAATACCCTGCTGTATCTGAGCTCAGATGACCGGAAGGAATTTTAGCTGTAAGATCTGCCCCACTGTCCTGTTGATGGGAATTTCCATGACAGAAGTGTTTGATTCTTTCCTGGCAGGTATCATAACCAAGTCCAACCAGGTTCTGTTTCTCCATGCTTATGCCTACGACGGTGTGATGTTTGAGAGTGGCATTGAATGTTCCACTTGCAAAGTGAGGAAACCAGCTAGAGCCAAACACTGCAGTAAGTGTGTTGTCATGTTGTCCAAAAGCAGGGAGCCCCCTTCGCTGCAAAAATTAAGCAAACAAATGCCCTACTCGCTCCCCTAGGATGCATTAAATGAAGAGGGGTAAATTGGGTGGAGGGGTTGCAGAAAAGCGGTTCTGGTTAGCTCAGCCGAGCCAATTCTGAACCCAGTTACACAGCCATTGGGAGTGGTCTGGGGGGACGGGGTGATTCCTTCCTTGGGGAACCAGTTTGATTGGGTCCCACATGAAGACTTGTTGCAGAATGCCTTCCTCAGAAGCTTCTCTGGGGTAGCTCCCAGACTGTGATTTTCTCCCCAAAGAGGTTCATTGGGCAATACTTTCCTCTTGACACTGATGGATTATTTTCACTGGTGGATGATTGGTGATCTTGGCTTTCTCCTGCTTCCATCATTATTGCATTTTGTTTGAATTTAAGCTGTTGTGTTGAAGAGTATTTAACATGTTCAGAAAATAATGAATTATGATTTAGATGCTTCAGGCTTGAACGGTCTTCTATGCCTTTTGCCATTTAATCACCAGAGCTAGCTTTAATGCTGCTGAAGGAAGGCAGGCTTTTAATGATCAATTTAATAGGTTCCCTTTTTAAGTTGCTGTTAAAATTCAGTTCTAATTCATGTGCCTTGGCTTTACTGCCAAGTTCTAATCAACTTTTATGGTTTCTTGACAACCAGACAGTCATGACCATATTCTGGATTTGAACAGGTGTGTGCAGTGGCTGTGTCCATCGTTTTGATCATCACTGTGTTTGGGTCAACAACTGTATTGGTGCTTTCAACACCAGATACTTCCTTCTCTACCTTCTCAGTTTGACCTCCATGGCTGTTTTCATGGCAATCTTAACAGCCAGCTTCCTCGTCCAGGTGGTAACTTTGTCAAATATGATGCTGGGATATTATGCTGATGACCAGGGCCAGGAGCATCCAGTTGATTTCTTCTTCCTTATACAGGTAAATAGTGTATAATTCATTTGTAGCAGAATGCATTTATACAATAGTAGATGAAGGGTATAGGCTGGATCTAACTTCATCAGAACTATGAAATGGGCTTCAGTGGCCTGCAGGATATGCTGGATCAGCTAACATTATAAAAACTTGGTTTCATGGGTACAGTTTGGGGGATAAGTCTGCCTGCTAAAATGTTGACATTTAATGAAACTTATCAGGAAGAGTGGTAGCCTGTATCAGCTTGGGAGTGCATGTGGATTTGTCTCTCCCTCCCCCTCAGAAAACATTAGGGTTAAGTGAAGAAACTTCCAGTTGGCCTTTATTGAAAGTACAGATTTTAGTTTTTGTCAACATTAAGATACAAACAACTGTGGCCTGTAATTGCAGGCTGGAAGGAATAGAGATAGCTAGAATACACAAGATTAGGAAGGGGCAGCTGGTTTGGATATTACTCAACTTTAGCCAGATTTCTTTTTTTCTCTTTACAGTACCTTTTCTTGACCTTTCCTAGGATCGTGTTCATGCTTGGCTTTGTCATCATTCTTTCCATTATATTGGTCTCCTATTTTTGCTTCATGCTGTACCTTGCATTAACCAACCAGACAAGCAATGAGTGGTTTAAATCAGGCAGATACAAATGTTCGTGTTTGCACCATTGCAGCAGACACAGGGGTTACAAAAATATTTATTCTAGAGGGATCTGGGGTAACATAGCAGAAATTGTGAGGCCTGTAATCCATGCTGAAAAAAAGATGTGATGACTTTCTAGCACCACCAGTGGACTAAATTCTTCCAACAAGTTTTAATTTAAACACAAAGAACCTAGCTAAATACAGTTGTGCCAACAAGCACATAAGTGCAACAGTGAAGTTGGAGTAGAAGCTATCATTCCAGGGGAATGAATTTCCAGTGTCATGTCTGCTTAGATTTTTGGCACTGTACCTGTCTTTAGCCATCCTTCAGACAAAAGGAGCAAGCAACTTAAGAACTTAAGGGCACAATCCAGTGTCTTTTGCAGATGCACACAGGCCTCTGCCCTTAGAGGTGCTCTGTGCATCCAGTGCAGTGCGGTGAAGAGGCAGCAGCTGTGGTCCTTCACCCATGCTGGCTGTGAAGGAAGTTGGTTGCTGCTACAAGCCTCTGCCTTCAAGGCAACATTAGAAAACTGGTCCTTTGCAACAGGCAGTTCATGAAATTGTCCTGAAGATTCCCAAGGGATTATACTCTGCATCTGGCCCAAGAGACATTAAAATTATTTGTGAATACTTTAGCTAGTTGATAGCACTCTTTTTATTACATCTGAATTATGTAAAAAAATATGCATTTAAAACATTATGTACAAGCTAAATTGTACAATATACCATTAAAAGCTACATGGTTACAAAAGAAATATACAATGTGTGGCCCTTTTGTAGCACTTCCCGGATATTCCGTAGAATAACCTGCAGTGTTCTAAAGCATTTTGAAACCTTTCTGGACACCTGCACATATTTTGGGGGCAGTGGAGTGTCCCATAAGAAGCTTCTCACTAGGATAGTTAGCCCCCTTTTTTCCCCTCTAAACCAAGATAAAGTGCTTTGTTTGGCAACTGCCTGGCAGCTGGCGAGAAGTCTGTCAAGAGCGACCAAGCCCTTTGCCGCAGTAAGGCACATCCCAAGAGCTCAGCTCTCTCTCTTCCCTTAGGCGCATCAGCATATGCATTGGCCCTTAAGGCTGTTTTATGGGACACCAAGTGAACATGCACAGCCAGCACGGGCCTCTCTGAGCCTCTTCCCTGTTCGTGTCACAGACAGTGCACAAAGCAGTCCCCCAAGATTAAGTGCAGCTATGGCTCTTCCTCTCATTGCAACTCCTAGGAGGCTACAGGTGGTGCTAGACAATCACTGTCTGAACCTCCAGCTCCTCCTCCTGGGAGGCAATGACAAACTCTCCTGTGTGCTCCATTATTTCAATGTCTTGAGATGCCACCATAGTCACAGTCGCCTCCTCGGCCTCACTGGTGCCCTCCGTCGCCAGCACAGTCCCTTCACCAATGGCCGAAGCCAGTGTCATAGCAACTTGCTCGGTGAGAATCTCGGGAGCTGCTATGGCAATTGTGTCTGTATCTGTACCGTCTGGTGTCACAGCCGAACTTTCTGCCACAGTGACATTTTGGACAATTATCTGATGGCCAGAATTCGCTTGGTTCACGATCTGCTGAACAACCTTCATTATGTGACTGTCCACCTGCACAGCAGAGAGAGACACAGGCTTAAACCCTGCTGTTTCACAGCAGCTGGCAGCCTCTGCAAGTGCACAAGACTGAAGGACTTCTGACAACAGAACATTTTTACAAACTGGAGCTTACTTTGCCAGATGCATCAGCTGACAACTTTTACACACATGCACAGAGGGAGAATTGCAAACAACGGAGCCAAAAAGCCATGACTCACAGCGGATAAGCAGGTGCAGCAAGGACATTCAAAATAGCAACATTCTGGAAGCAGGGTTCAAGCCTCCTAGAAAGCACTACTGCTGACCTGACATGTCCCCTTGATCAAATTCATTTTGGATTCCAGTGCAAAACCGCACGTCTGAGCCTATCCATCGAGGTCTTAAGGCCCAAGACCTACTATAATGAGCGTAGAAAAGCTAGAAAAGTCGTATTGGCACCAGTTGCTGTGAATGGCCACGGACTGTGTATCTTTTCAGCTTCACAGGGAGAGGTCAGCACTTGAATTTTGTGGCCTGCTGTTGATAGGCTTTGCCTCATTCATACACAAGGCACTCAAATGGGAGAAATACCTCATGGAGCTGCTGATGGAGCAGGCTCTGTCCTACAAAGCTCATGGTGCTGGGCGATTAGAGGAAGGAGCTACTTGGGCAGGATACTGCACCCACAAATTCTAAGGGAAGCAGGGCATCACCTGGGTCTTCCCCACTTGAGTTGCTGTTCAGTTGGAGGGACCCCTCTCCTGACAAACGAGATGCTGGAGGGGGCAGGGGTAATGAAGACAGGTGGGATGTAGCAAGAACTTCGTGTTGGTGTCTGTCAAGTCCTGCTTCTTTAAACCAAAGGTTGGAAAGTTTATCTTCCCCTCTAGCCACTAAAGCATTGGGAAACGACAGGCAGAACAAGAAAAATAAAATGGGGCTTTTAAAACTGGAAACTTATCTGGGCTCCTCTGAATCAGAACAGCCAAGAACTTGGAAGACAACACCTTGTTGGAAACAATTGTGGACATTTATTTGCTCTGCCAGAAGGCTGGAGGTGAGACTACAAAGCACCTGCTTCACAGGCAGGTCGCTAGTTCAATCCCAGCATTCCCAGCTAAAAGGACCAGGCAGGACATGACAGAAACCCACTGCAAGACTGAGTAAAATGTGGGGAGAGCACAGACTTCTGTTATTCCAGAGTTGCTGGGGAGTTGCTTCATTATTCCCACCCGGAGTTGCACGTTCCCTCGTGGGGAAACCAAATGCACGCAGCAGTCCCGGGACTCTCACCTACCCCAGCTATGGCTGGGTGCTGCCCAACACCAGACCCAGGCTTTCCACTCCCTTGCAGAGAGGGATCATTCTCCCCACAAAATCCCTCAGGTTAACCAAAAGGCCATAAAGACAGGCAGAAAGCCAAGGCCAGGAACGCGTGTTTTTCAGAGCTAGATGGGCCTTCAAGCAGGGAGGAGCATCAAGTCTGTTAACTTCAGTTCTTCCTTCTAAACTGAGCAGGAGAAACAACCACCCCAGAATACTCTTCTCTACTGTAGGAAATGGTCCCAGGTTCAATCCTTGGCATCTCCAGTTAAAAGGGTCAGAAAAGTTTTTCCTCTTCGTCTGCTGAGACCTTGGAGAGCCAATGCTTGTCTGAATGGAGAGTACTGAGCTGGGTAGTCTGAGGCAGCTTCTTGATCTGCTTTCCTGCCTGAGAAGAAAGGAGCTCCAAAGCCTGTCCATCTTAGATTATTTCCCAAGGGCTTTGCATCCAAGTTTCCACTTCTAGATCTTTCCCAGAAGATCCACCAAATGAAAAGACCATGAAATCCTGGTACTAGGTGGCTTGGCCCTGCACTTCCCCCACTTTTTTTTTTTTTGTGGGGGGGGGACAATACCAATCTATGAATTCCTTCCAGCATTTATTACCAAAACCCAAAATAAACATTATTCAAGAGTAACTACCTCATGTCTTGTTCCTTCTATTATTTCAGCTGCTTCACTGGTCTCCATGTCTTCAGTAGCTGTCTTTAAAGAGAGAGAGCAGAGATTCCAAAAAGGCAACATTAGCTTGGTGGCAACAACCCCAAGGACGCTGTAAAGTGCCAGAGGATTGTCTCCTGCTGCTACGTCTCTTCCATTCTGTTCAGTGGAAGGGATGCAGAAGTGGCCCCTTCAGATTTCACTCCGGTCCTTGGAAACCCCCTGCCCACCCCTCCTCCAAACCTGCAATGCAGGAGCACCAGCTCTTCACTTTTGGTGCTGCTTAGTTACCTCAATTATATACTCTTGCGTATCTGCCACAACTGAAGAAAATTCCACCAGGACTGTCGGGGGGTCTTCAGAAATTACAGTTGCAGCCAAGCTGTCAGCTGACTGGCTGTCTTCTGACACTGCCGCCTCTTCAGCTTCTTTCAAGGCAAGGAGGCAACCACCTGGGTGGAGAGAAGAGTGCTCATGCAGTTAATAAGCTAGCCACAAGTTCAACACTGACCTCCGGAAAGCACTGTATAAAAGTCAGTGAAGTACATTTGCCTGTTCTGGAGTATTTGTTCTGATTTTGCTAATCATGGGGAGCAGCAGTGAGCTACCTAATCCGATAAAAGATGGAAACCATTTTATTCGCTCACTACCTGCCACAATATATCTGGAAATTCGACCTGGCACTGCCCTCCCCGACAGTCTCTTTTATTTGGGAGCTACCATGTGCCCATAACTGTTTTGAGAGGAAACGAAGGACATGCTTACTCACCCTTGGTCCTCAGGTGTCTGTTGAGAGTGCCATGCTCTGCAAAGCCACGTCCACATTTGTAGCACTTGAAAGGCTTCTCACCTGTGTGGTGACGGATGTGACGGACTAGAGAACCTTTTTCCCGAAACCCCTGGTTACAGAACTGGCAGACGTAAGGTTTCTCATCAAGGTGGGTTCGGAAATGGACCTGCTGGGCATTCTGTTAAGAAGAACAGGAGTGCTTGAATACACCCAGTAGGAGGTGCTGCAGCTCCGTGCTTTGCATGGAGAAGGTCCAAGTTAAATTTTTGGCATGCCCAGGGAAACTCCAAGGTCTGGAGAGCCTAATGGTTTTATTTGTTGTTTTACAGCTTCCTATCTTTCTACATTCTAGGATACCACCAGAGTTCATCCAGAGTTCATCCAACCCAAACAGTAACAATTTTTCCCTTTCACACAATGTTGTTAAAACAAAACCACACATTAAGTCAGAGATTTCTTGTCTGCTAAGGGTGGACCTGCTGGAGTGAAACACTCGCTACAAATTTATAAGCGCACATGTATATGCACAATGGCCGCTGGAAGTCTCGCTTCTTCACTGCCACTCAGCAGGCTTGATCATGCAGCCCCCGGCTGAATCTGAAGAGGCCTCCAGCCGTTTTGCACAGTGGTCTCCCAGTCGGTTCCACTGCCCTCCTCCTCCTGTAAACTGGGGGCTGAATTGCAGCATAGGATGGAACATTTCAAGGCAGTTTAGCCAGAGTCATCCCTCCATTCCGCACCGTGATGGACTTGATGTTTCAAAGACCAACAGAAAGCACGGCAACCCCACTGCAGCTCAGGGAAAAAAGCCAATTCTGGATAGGTTATCCTCCCTTTGGGATTCCTACCTTTGTTTTGTACCTCTTGCCACACTTGGGGCAAGGATAAGGTCGCTCATCAGAGTGCACCCTCCGGTGCCCCTTCACATGTGCAATCGTCTTGTATAGCTTGCCGCATTCCCCACAGCGGAACCGCCGTTCGTTCACGTGAACTTCTTGATGCTTTTTCAGCAAGTAGCCTTTGGTGAATTCTTTGCCACACTCCTCACACGTAAAAGGTTTGTAGTCTAGAAGTGGGAAGAGGGTATTTCATAAGCTTGACAAGTGAGGGAAAAAAACCAAAACTAAAACTTTATAGCTTAAAAGTTTTTCTTGGATTGCTCATAATTGTTCTGCTTTGTAGCAAAGACGATGGCTCTCTTAAGTTTGCAACATGTTTAGCTAAAAATATTGCTGCCGGCCTTTGCCCAAGGAATTCAGTCCTGTGAAGAGGCTACACTTCACACGACTACACACAGGACTCCTCACTAGTCAGACCTCATCTGGAATCCTGTGTCCAGTTCTGGGCACCAAGATTTAAGAAGGATGCAGGAAAATTAGAAAGGGTCCAGAGGGCAACAAAAATGATCCAGGGTCTGGAAACACTGCCCTGTGAGGAGAGACTGAGGGAACTGGCCATGTTCAGCCTTACCTCAAAGGCTGTCACAAGGAGGAAGGTCAAGATCTCTTCTAGCTGATGCCAGAGCATAGGACACGGAATAATCAATTCAAGTCAAAATAACCCAGATTCAGGCTGGACATCAGGAAACGCTTCCTCACTGTCAGAGCAATATGACACTGGGACCAGCTGCCTAGGGAGTTGGTGGACTCTCCCACACTGGAGACTTTCAAAAAGAAACTGGGCAGCCACCTGAGTGGGATGGTGTAAATTGCTGTCCTGCAGCAGCAGGGGGTTGGACCCGATGGCCTTCGTGGCCCCTTCCAACTCTACTCTTCTATGATTCTAAACTTGAGTATTGGCAAGATGTTTTCCAGTGGAAAAGTTCGCAAGCTTAAGGGGTCTGCCCTCCTCAGTGCCAAACAGAAAATATTTTTTTTCTCAGCGGCTCAAAATAAATAGCCATCTACTGCACAGCTGTCCAGGTGCAGTGCGACCAGCTCTGTGTGCCAGAAAAACTTGAGACATAGGCAGAAGCCACCTTACCTAAATGTCCACTGATGTGGAGGTCAAGGGAACTGTGCTCTCTGAAGATTTCACTGCAGTAGGGACACACGTGACGCTTGCATTCACTAGTCATTTCTGCATCTGGCTATGAAACAGAAAGGCCCAGCATAAGTGCTTCACCCAGACACAGCTCTGAGCTGGGGTATGTCGTGTGAAGGGTAACAAAGGCAAATGGAAAGCCAGGTCAGGCTCGAAGCCAGAGGGAAAGCAGCTGTCCTGCTGAACTTACAGCTTCTATTTGCGCTATCTCGACATACTGCTCTCCACACAACTTCTCGGATGTGTCCACCTCTTCGCTCTTTAGCGCCTCTGCAGTAGCAGATGTATCTGCTTCGTCTGATGTGGTGTCTTCCTCCATGGATGCCCTTTCTATTACAATCCCAGAATTCCTCATTGCTTCTCTCAACAAGTTCTTGTCATTTCCGTCAGAAGCAAGCTCCTCAGGATTTGTCGACTAAAGAAAATCAGAAGCCATGGTAGTTAAGTTGGAATAAGAGACCCACCTTTTCAGTGCCCAGAATTCCACAGATCACCATAATCTTTCCCAGAAACTTTCTAAAATTGTTATTCCTCTGAAGCATAAACTGCCTCCTGAGAAGTAGCAGCAGCCACTTCGGGGCAAGGAAAGCAACAAATTCCCACGGGGGCCCCAGGGGGAAACATCTTTAATATTAGAATGCAATCCAACTCTGGGGATGTATCAAATGTCAAACTAAGGCCAAGCAGCCACGCAAGCAGGGCAAGGGAGACTCACAAATACTGCCAGCCCTGCCTTTTCCCTTTCAAGGAACTCAAGGCGGCGTACATAGTTCTTCTCCTCTCCACCTTATCCTCACAACAACCTTGCAAGGTAGGCTGGGCTAACAGTCTGACTTGCCCAAAGCCACCCACTCAGATCCATGGCTGAGTGCAGACTATAACCTGGATCTCGTATCCATCCTACACTCTGAACCACCACACCACTCAGGCGCTCAGTTTTAGATAACACAGCAGTTCGTGTGACTACTGCAGGGTCTGTTTACTGCAGAATCTTCTCTCTCAAACAGACATTGCTACTCCCCAACTCCAACGCTATTTTCTCAACACTCTTAGACTAATCAGCATGCATACTTTACACAATTCTTACACACCCAAGCCCACAGCCAGAAAGAAGCATGACTGTTTCTATAAAATGCCAATGTTTCCCCAAGACCTGTGGCACTAACCTCATGGTCTAATGTTTTCGCATCTGAGATTGGAAGCTCCTGCATCTGGACATGGACCTCATGGAGGACATTCCCTTTTGCGTCTGTCACTAGATGGATTACAGGTGAAGACTCCACAGACTGAGATGCGAGGGAGGAAATGGTTTCTGAGCTGGAGTTGTTGGGGCCTTCAGAAAAAAACGGGACGCAGCTCTCAGCAAGCAGCCTTGTTTCCAAGGACAAAGAACGGCTCCACATGCCTCTGTTCCCACCCACCCCTGAAGTGCCTTCTTTTGCCTCCACGTAACACTAAGCTCTCGCACGAATGAAAACACTTGCCAAAGAACCTCAAACATTGTCTTGTGGTAGACCTTCAAAACAACACATTAAGAAGACCCGTATTAGCCATACTGCAGGTGCCCCAAAGGCAAGATCTGAATAAAGGATATTTCCCAGATATTCTTCTTTGCTTGTGCAGCATCGTGGCTGATCAACCAACCTAGGGACCGAGATCCAGGGTAAAGCCGAGTGGAACTCCTCCCACAAGCATTATTCATCTGCCATTTTGCTTTGCACATCATGCCTGTACACTAAAAAGCGCTGGAGCATTGTGCAATTTGTGACATGATGGCCTATCGGGTGTCATTCATGTTCTCCTTTCAAAGCCTTTGTGATGCAGACTGAGCCAAACGGCCAACATTTGCCAAAGAGAGAAACAGGGATCTGAAGAGACCCTCACATATCTGCACACCAACGTATTATGCCAGCTCTCAAGAGCAAGCCTGTTCCACCTCACTTCCTCTCCCAGGGATGCTCCCTGGACAATCTGCTCCGAACACCAAATGCATCTTGCGCCAGAGTAACAGCAGTCGAATCAGCCACCCTCTCGGAATGACCAGAGAACACTGCCGGGAAGAAGGGAGCAGGACAGGCCATAAACCTTGGAGTCACCTGCAGCTATATCCTCTTTGCTAACAACAATTTCCTTGTTCAAATTGAAGCGGATTTTCTCTGTGCAGGGTGTCAAGGACTTCAAGTGCCGGGTCAAGGCTCCTGATTCTCGGAAACTTTTCCCACACTTCTTGCACTTGTAAGGACGCTCATCTAAACAGACAGGGAAATCAGAAACAATCATTATGTGCAAGAACAAGGCACACTAACACCACTTCAATGATCACTCCTCCCCAGCTTATCTCCACAAGCTGCCCAGAAACCAGATCCAGGTGGAATTATCTGATCACAGTACCCAGCTCAACAGTATATGAGGAACGCAGGTAATCGGAGGGGCCCCCTATGGCAAGGCAAACAGCGAAAGCACCAAGGACCAGTCATGGAAAGTCTTCATCTGCTGAGATCATCTTAGATCATCTCTGCTTCCTTCCTCATGTCCCTCCTTGCCTTACTGTCCCACTGGTAGAGATTTTCTTCCCTTGAATTCTACTGGTGAACACCACATCCCTAGCACTGATGTGCTTGATATATAACATCATCCTGTTTATGCCACAGTAAGCCCTCACCTGTGTGACGGCGATGGTGCCGGATTAATGACCCTTTAGTTCTGAAAGATGTTCCACACAAGTTACACTCGTAGTCCTTCCTGCTGCTGTGAGTGATCATGTGAGCTTTGAGAATGCTGGCCTAACACAAGAGGAAATGGGTATTTATGAAGGTACCAGGGCCATGCCATGGGATTTCAAGGTACAGCAGTAATTTTTCACTGACACAGACAAAAATTGTGGAGATTATAACAATTGTCTCTATAATGCGCTATCATTTATTCTGCCCCAACATTTGTGCTCCACTGCAGGTCACCAACGTACCGTTTTAAATGTCTTCTGGCAGAGTTCACATACATATCGGCCTTCTTTATTAACCAAGAGTTTAACCTTGATGAGCTCCATAGAAGCCCCTTCCTCTGGGCCTCCGGGAGTGCTCTGCTCCTCTCCAACATCACCGTCAAAGGGGCCATTTGGCTCTTCAAAGACATGGTCGCCAGCTACAATAACTTCTTTGATGTGCCCGCTACCTGTAAATAGGATTCCAAGACAGTTCCATTCTTTCCACTGGACCACTCTGGAAGACTGGCCAAAGCAAAATGGAATCCCAGGCCAAGTGCTCATTCTGTCTTTAGAATTTAACTCACGCCTAAGTCAGTCACTCTTGAAGACCTTAGTCTCCCAGCCTCAGAACTGCTGACCTCCTACTTGCAACTCTGTCAACGTCTGATTAAAGGCATTTCTTCCTAGCTAGTAAAGGGATCTCATCTTCTAAGAGCAAGTGCCACATATTATACAACTTTAAAAGTGTTTCCCCCACCATTCTACTTGATTAACAAATCATTTTATTCAAGTTCTGAAATAGTAAAGGAAGCATTTCAATCTGCGTTTTCATGCATTTCATAGAACAGTATCACATCCTACTGTCATGTTTATTACACTAAGGAACAGCAAATTCACTCATAAGGAAGACACATCTTGCCACTTCATCTTTTGGCTGCCCTTTCCTGTAGCTTTTCAAGTTCCAAAATATTATAAGCAAGCAACCAGAATTATATAAAGAATACCAAAAAAGACTGCATAAGCACTTTATGATAGTAGGCATTATAATCGCTTTTCTTTACAATCCCGAGCAAAACATTAATCTTTTTCAGTATAACCACATTTTATGTGTTTATTAAGCCACAACCTCAAGATCTCTTTCCTGAATAGCAACACCTGGTTCAAACTGGAAATGAGTATACATAAAAGTGAATTTTTTACCTGGTCATAAGTAGTACACTTCACTTTATGTATGCTTACACTGAACCTCACTTGCCATCTTGTTGTTCATTCACTCAGTTTGGACAACCCCTTGGAACACTTTATAGTGTTTGGTTTCTCCCACCCTGAACAATCCTGTATCATGTTCAAACCTGACTATCTTAGTGCTCACCCAGCTCCAGATAATTCATGAGTTCAAGTAACAACAGTCCTACCACTTTTTACCCACAATTGTGTGAATGTGTATTACAACCCAGCCTTTAATTAGTCATTCCTTTTCTCTCATTGCATGACTGTTCAACTTAGCATTGTTTGATAAAAGATTTGCTCAAAACGGTTTCAGATGCTTGTTATGTAACATCCGAATCGCCTTCGTCCAGACACACAAGGAAGGCAGAAGGAGTGGGGGGCTTACCTACAATTGCAGATGCACCACTGATTTCTTCTGTTATTGGAGATGCCTCTACCACTATGTGCGCTACAGTTATAGGCTCTTCCACAGATGAAATTGCCTGACACGACACAGTAAGCTTCAGTAAAGAATTAGTTATTTACAAATAGTTTTAAACTAAGAAAACTTCATAGGAAACAAATTAGTTTCAGAAAATTTAAACTGCTTCTCTACCTCTTAGCTCAAAATCTGAACTGTACCACACACTACCAGGCTCTTTACTCTGCTTCTTACACTATAATCAAAGCTTGAAATCGCTTTACTACATTCTAGTATTTTCCCCGCATTTCTTAAAAATGTTCAATGAATTTTCAAACTAGCACACCCAAAGCCCGCCAACCTCCTCGCTCATCCAGTTCTTGCTGCCTCAGGAAACTTGCCGGGGCTGCTGGCGTTGCTGTAGCGTCATGTTGTCGCTGGCAAAGCTTTTGCAATTTGTGCTGCACAAATTCTTCTAAAGATGTGAACTCGGCCTGGCAGCGGCCACATTTGTGCCTATCGTCTTCATCTGAAATGCAAAGGCCAGGGCAGTAACCTCAACTTTTAAGCAGCAGGACGGCACGATTTCACAAAAGAGGCGGCGGGCCAGCAGGGGTGGCCGGGGAGACCGCGCCCGGAGGGGGCCAGAGCGGCGGGCGGGCGGGCGGGGCGGCGCAGGACGGCCCCGGCCGAGGCGCCGGCGGGGCTCGGGGCCGCTGAGAGGCGCAGCCGGGCACCCGCGCGCGCGCGGCCTGCGAGAAGCTTCGGCGAGAAAGGAAAGGGCCGCGCGCCGCGCCGCGCCCGGCCGCGTTTGTCCGCTTCTTTCGTTGCCCGCTCGCTCGCGGCCTCCGTCAGCCCTTCGAGCACCTGGCGCGCCCGGAGCGCGCGAGCCCTCGCCCTCGCCGCTGGCTGCCCTCCGCGCGCAGGAGAGCCCCCGCCCGGCAGACCCCTCGCCCGCGCCGGCCAGTACCTTCGTCTCCGAAGGGCGCGGGCAGGCCGAGGAAGGCGGCGGGCGAGGGGCTCGGCGCGCAGGCCGCCTCCGCGCCGCACTCCTGTCCCCGTGGCACGGCTGCCGTAAGCCCCGCCGGCCCAGCGCCCGTTGCCATCGCGGCCTCCATGTCGCAAGGCGCCGCAACCACCAAAATGGCGGCTTTACGGCCGTGTCGTCATAACAACGAGTCCCGCACCGACCGCGGGCGGGGCGCGATCAGCACGGAGGCCTTGGGCGGGGCGCGCTGTCAGCCAACGGGCGGGCTCGGGTTTTCCTCGGCTTACCTGAAGGGGCGGGCCTACTCAGGCATCGTAGCCAATGCAGGGCTAAGGCGGAAAGGCCTCTTTTCGTTCGTCCAACCAGACCCTGGCGCAGTCGCAGGAGCCGCCCGAGAAGCAGTTCTCAACCAATCGGAATGCGGCTGCTCCTCCTCATCCTATCAGCCGCCAAGGCGGCCCGGAGACGAAGCCGGCAGGAGCAGCGGCGTCGTGGAAGGAGCGCAGGAGGCGGTCCCGCGGCGAGGCAGACGCCGTCCAATAGCCGCCGCACGAGGGCGGGGCCTCCCCGCCCCCGACCAATCGGCGCCGCCGGTGGGCGTGAGGAGCCGCGTCTCCGCCCGCGCCCTCGAGTCTGGGCCGCGCCGTCGTCTGCCCGCCCGCCTTTCTGCCCGGCGATGGCGGCCAAGCGGTGCCAGCGGCTGGAGCCGGCGCTGGCGCGGGCGGCGCTGGCGGAGGCGGACGCGCTGCTCTTCGACTGCGACGGCGTGCTGTGGCGCGGCGAGGCGGCCGTGCCGGGGGCGGCCGAGGCGCTGGGCCGGCTGGAGGCGCGCGCGGGCAAGCGGCTCTGCTACGTCACCAACAACTCCTCGCGCACGCGCCAGGCCTACACGGAGAAGCTGCAGCGCCTCGGCTTCCCGCCGGCCGAGCCGCGGCAGGTCTTCGGCTCCGCCTACTGCTCCGCACGGTACCTGCGCCGCGCGCTGCCGTCCGGCGCCGCCGCCTACGTGGTGGGCGGGGCGGCGCTGAGCGCGGAGCTGGAGGCGGCGGGCGTGGCCCACCTGGGCGCCGGCCCCGCCCCCGCGCCCGGCTCCGCCCTCTTCGGCGCGCGCGCCCCGCTCGACCCCGCCGTGGGCGCCGTGCTGGTGGGCTTCGACGAGCACTTCAGCTACGGCAAGCTGTGCCTGGCGCTGCGCTACCTGCTGGAGCGCGACGGCTGCCTGCTGGTGGGCACCAACCGCGACCACCGCCTGCCGCTGGAGGGCGGCAGCGCCGTGCCCGGTACGCGCCCGGGCGGGCGGGGGGGGCGCGCCTCCCTCCCTCCCTCCCTCCCTTCGCGGGCTCGGCCCCGGCCCCGGCCCCGGCCCCGGGCTGAGCGCCTCTTCCCCTCTCCTTCCAGGGACCGGCTGCCTGGTCAAGGCGGTGGAGACGGCGGCCGAGCGCGAGGCGTTCATCGTGGGCAAGCCGAGCCGCTACATGTTCGAGTGCGTGGCCAGCGAGTTCCGCATCGACCCCGCGCGCACCATCATGGTCGGCGACCGCCTGGACACGGACATCCTCATGGGCAACAGCTGCGGCCTGACCACGCTTCTGACCCTCACGGGGGTCACCACACTGGAGGAGGTGGAGGGCCACCGCTCCAGCGACTGTCCCCAGCGGAGGAGCCTGGTCCCCGACTACTACGTTGACAGCATAGCGGACCTCCTCCCTGCGCTTCAGGATTGAGCAAGGGGGTCGCCCCAGACAGTGTGTCTCGCCCTGCCCTGCCCTGCCCTGCCTGCGGGAGCGTGTCACGGCTCCTGCTGCCATGCACAGAGTCGCTGCTTGCAACTTAAGATGCTTTTAGTGCATAATTTGCCGTCTGAGTTGTTTACAAATTCCTTTTAAAATGCACTTTGTAACAAAGAGGGAAGTGTGTTGCATACATTAGCTTTTCCGATGTTGTGAAACTTCCAGTATGTCTGAAAGCACCCACAGTGTTAAGATATCAGGGTAAAGCCTTGCTCAATTGGGTTGAAAGGGATCGGGCAGCTTTGGTTAAACCTTGCACTGTGGTCTTTTGTGGAAGTTATAGCCCATGTTGGGAAATTCAGGGAACCAAGCAGCTGGAGGGCAGTTGCTCTTTTTCGGTCTCTAAAGCTCAACTTTAAGCTTACTCAGGTCCCAGTTTTAGACAGCTTGTTTCAGAGATGATTTCAGGGAAAAGGAGATCACCTGTATGCCCATCTGTGTCCTTGCTGTTGTTTCTCCTTTCCACACAACCATTTGCACTCGCTCAATATGCAAAACGTGAATGATAATGTGGCGTTCTGTGTGTTCTCACAAGATAATAGATGTGTGTATATATAGTGATGTGAAGAACGTCAGATAATCTATTTTAAAAGTGATTATAATATATTGAAGGTGGGTTTTATTGATCTGGAGGGATGTAACTAATCAGAATTCTTCCTCATGCTTTTCAGTACGTACCACAGCAGTACCAGCATAATCCACTAAGTAACACCATTTCACTAAGCAGACAGGTTGCTTGAACATTGAGCAGGAATTCAAATATGACACACAAACATGGCCTGGCTCACTTGTGAGTCTTGGAGGCAAAGGTGACTTGCATAACCGGTACCTTCATAAATGGTTGCAGTTCTGCTCGGCGGCTATTTTGGTGTCAGCGCTGGTGAAGCAAATATAGCAACTTGCTCAGGGCTTCCTGTCAGAGCTCACTTGTTAGGTTGATTGGAGGACCCAAAAAACTCCTTTGTAGATTTGCCTTGCTTGAAAAGGGATGTCGAAGCTCCTTTGTTCTGCCGTTTTGTGGGCAGCATAAAGAGCTGCACTTCCTAGTGCTACATCTCAAGAAATTAGACATGATAATGTAGAAACCTAACATTTGGCAATCAGGATATTTCATCTTTCAGATGTAACCTTTATGACCCTGGCTATGGGAAGATGACGCTTCCTGTACTGCAGATGCTCGAAACTTCTGAGCTTGCCACGTTTTCATGCAGCAATAATTGTGTTCTCCACAGTGGAAGATACTTTCTGTTTATTAAGTTAGTGTCAAAGTTCACACTTTTTAGGAAGCATTTAAGGTGCACAGTGAGATCTTCCCTGCTTCTTAAAAGAAAGTGTGCCCTTTTTAGGATTATCAAACCCTCATTTGTAAACTTAAAGATTGCTTTCCACTTTTGATAATTCAAACTGTTTATTTCTGTTTGGAATGACTGTAAAATACCATAATGTCCTTTTGGGGACTTTTGCTTATGCAATTCTGGAGAGATTCAGTCAAGAGCGTATTGTTTAGACCTTCTCTGCAGCTGTTCAGACAAACTTGCCAACCCCTTGCACTCTTTTTATCTTTGTTGCGAAACTCTGCTGGTGAAAGACAAAAGTAGTCTCTGTAAAACTGTTCAAGAACTTCAGGCCTATACTTGAGTCACATTAAACATACATCTCACTACTTCTTTGTGTTAGTCATCTTTTAATTTTACATTATTTGAATTTTACTAGTAGTTCAACTAAATGATTTTGGGAGGAAAAGTCTCTTCTCCCTGCTTTCATATTAGAACAATCTATGCATGTTTTCATTCAATTTTTCTGTATCTGCTTGAGTATACCACAACTAAGCTAAACTGATTCAATTCAGAGAAATTCTATATCTTACAGTTTAAGATACGAGGCCAACAGCATACACTTCCTTGCACTATTTAACATTTAAGGGGAAAATGCACTGTAAACTCACACTACTTTCATTATAGAGCTATCTGTGCACTTTTTCTAGGAAGAACGTCCCAAGAGAAAAGTTAATGTCAATTTGAAAAGTGTTACATCTGTAAAATCGGTATCAATTTTATATTTAGAACAGGGTTTTTAGAAATCAAAAACTTTACAGAGGACAAACACTTTGGCGAGAAGACCCTCCTCTGTTGTCTCTTCTTGTGCACTCGGGAGGCCTTTGTGTCCTTGGCTATGCCAACCCCTGGAGACAAGCCTTGGCACAGAAATGCAGGAGCGTGAGGTTAGTGGGCCATCCAGCGGTGGTTCTTGGCATGCACTGCCAGATAGCCAAAGTATGCAGCTGTTGGGTGGCGACACGGGAGAAGCTCTCAAAGCCGTGAAGCTGGTCAGGCCCCTGAGCCCAGGACGCAACATGAACAGAGGAGAGGAGAGCTAGCCAGCCAGAAGGTCAGCATGCCGAGAGCAGGCATGCTCTTTTTCCAACCGAGCCCTCAAAGGGATTGGGCCCAGACATATTCCAAAGGAGGGCTTTCAGAAGTAGTTGTTTAGATTGGGTCAATGAGACCCTCTGTGCATGCTCAGAGATACCTTTCTGGGGCTATTTGAGTTTATTGGATATCCCATGGTGCATAAAGAGCTTTTGCAAAGGAATGGTCTGTTGCTCTGAAAGTGTGAAGGCAGGAAAACCACTTCATGACCTGGAGAGCAAACATGGCACAGGGAATAAAAGGAACGCAGTATTTGGTGTCTATTACTGGCCCCCTAGTCAAAGGGAAGGTGAGGATGAAACTTGAAAGGAAAGGCACGTTCAGTGTTTCAAGGAGGCAGGATGTCGGCATTGTAGGGAACTTCAATTTCCCTCATACCTGTTGGGAGACAAATGCTGCCAAGCACGGCCCCCCGGGAGATCCCTAACCTGTTGCTGATCACTTCCTCCAACAGAAAGTGGAGGAAGGAACCAGAGAAAGGGCTCTCCTTGGCTTGATTCTAACCAGCAGGGAAGACCTCGTGGGCAAAGAGGCGGCCCCAGGAACTGAGGAAAGCAGCCTGGCCGTACTTGAATGCCTGACTCTACAGGAAGCAAAGGCCCCGTGTAACTAAACATGTACCCCGGATTTTTGGAAAGAACAGGATTTGAATAAACACAACAATCATAAGTAAAGTCCCTGGCAAGTAACACTCATGAGTGGAGACCAAGATGGGTGGCATTTTTTAAAAAAAGGGAATTCTAGAGACACAATTACAAACAATCCCAAGGAAAGAGGGTAGAAAGCAACAGAAAAACCCCGTGTGGCTTCACAAAAATGCTTCGAGCTGATCTGAAAACAAAAAGGGACATGTTTAGGAAAGGGAAGGGAGGCCAGGCTACAAAGCAAGAATACAGGCGGGTGGCACGGAGTTGCGGGGGCGGCCTCAGGAAGGCTAAAGCTAGGAATGCTTTACATGAGGTCAGCAAGGGATGCTAAAAGCAACAAAAAAAAGCTTTCTTCAGATACGTCCGAAGTAAAAGACAGACAAAATAATGGGGGTCCAACTATTCAATGTGGATGGCCAAATGATACTTACTAAATTACTTAAATGAAAGGGAGGCAGTATCACCAGCGCAGATCTGGTTCCAGCTTGCAAAGTCGATGCCCTGTTTGTTCCGAGGCTGTTCAGGGGGCATGAAAGGGCTGCTAGAGCAGAAATGGAATGAAGATTGTTTTGGCTGAAGGCGTGCCCGAGGAAAACATGCCCAGCTTTTACCTTCAGCCACGAAGCACCAGCATGCTTGCTGGATTCCTGAAGTCGGAGACGCACATAAAAGCATTCCTCTTTCCCTGGGTCCCAAACAGCAGAGCAAGGAAGCAGTGTGATCTCTTGCCAGGTGAAATAGCTTGGAAGGAAGAGATGTCAGGTGCTCATAAAAGGGTGAAAAATGATGAGAAGGACACCCTGTCATCTTAGCCTTGCCCCCAGATCTTCGGGCGAGCTTGCTACAGAAACGCCAGGGCTTTTTCAATGCACCATGTGAGTGGGCCCAGTTCTGGTGGGGCTCCAGTGGGAAGTCCTCATGGAGAGCCCTCCTTTTGATAGGTATCGGAGACCTTTGTTTCTACTGAATTTCGTATTTGTTAACAGTGCATGTGCTTCGTTAATTTTATGCCAGGTCCCAAACCCAAGAAATGTACAGTTTAGAAATAGTCGGGTGGGGGCATAAGGAAATGGGGAAAATATGCCATTTTTTGGCAGGTGAACTGGGGTTCTGACCACCTCCCCTTCCTTGTTCTGCCTTTCAAAGGCTGGTGCTTCCCCTTCAGGCATGCCTCTGTGAAGGTCCCGCTCCGCTTCCAGTACATGGACCCCTCAAAGACGGACACACTCTGGCTCCACCAGGGCCATCTCTCCCTCCACAGCAGGCACTCATCCAGTACGGTTTCATGTGTCCTGGGCTGATGGGGCAAAATCCCAGGACCTTTGAGGAGGTTGCTACATGCAACCCAAGGAAGGAGCAATCCCTTGCATTAGGCAAAATCCATTGTATGTACTACTTTCCATCCCGCTTTGTAAAATATGAGCTAGTAAATTTGGGGTGGGGTGGTTCAGGACAAACTTCCTGTAGGGTTTCTGATAACAGAACCTGGGTTTTTCCAGCTTTACTAGCCATTAGGTTTGGCTTTTGTTTTGGTGTTTATTGTTACTAAATTCATCCCTCTCTTTAAAGATAGAACAATCCATTTGCCCCCGCATTTTAAAATGGTAAATGGGATGGCTCCAAGGGGCACCGATAATGAGCTGGTATCCTGCAATGTGGAACAGGCACCTCCATTTAACTCCTTCCGTCACCGCAAGTTGTGCTGCGGCGCGCCACGCACCGGCAAGGAGGCCGCTGGAGCGGGCAGGAGCGGGCAGCCATCACTCGCCGCCACCTCTGCGGCACCGGAGCTCAAGGGCAGGCTGCCACGCATCCCGACTCATGTTCGCCTCCTCCCTGCGAGCCAGAGAGGGGTCTTTGGGCAGCGAGGCCCCGCACAAAGCTCCCAATTGTGCTCCCATGAATGCAGCGGCTGTCTCGCCGGGAAGGGCCAGGGCAACATCTCTCCACGGCCCGTCCCCTCCCGCTAGTTGCCAAGTCTCGGGTTTCACCTGCACGTGTTTCTCCCCCGCAGAGGTGCCAGGGTGCGCAGCCTGGCTGGCCTGGGGGCGCATTCTCGGGTTTCCAGCGGGATCCTGCGGGCTCAGAAGATGAACAGCCTCTGCACTGCCAGACGACAGAGCCGGAGCAGCAAGGCCAGCGTCCAGGATGGAGGAGCAGGCTGTGGCCCACACAACCCCCTCGCTGGTAAGGCCCCTGCCCTTCCCCCCCAGGAGCCCCTCCGTGGCCCCTGCAAGCATCCTTGACCCACCAAACTGGTACGTTTTCCACTTCAAGGGCTGCTGCGCAGCTGCCTCTGCCAGAGCGCTTCCCGTGGGTTATGCCCTTGTCCCCAGCTCCTGGAGAGGTGGGCAGAATGGGATGCCAGCAGCCCAAGTGAGCTTGGCTTGCAGTGGGGTGAACCAGGAGGGCTGCAGCAGGCGGTTATGGGAAGTGAAAGGGCTTGAAGGCTTCCCAACTCTGCTGTAGAAGCACCCCCTTATTACTGGGGAGCAAAGAGCTGTCTCATGGGAAGATTAAGGAATGGGCTTCAAATCTGCTTTCACAAGCTCTCAGGCATCCACGTTTAATCCATACTGCATTAAACACTGGCATTAAATGGATTTTTAAGGTGCAGGGCAGTGTAAGACATCTGCAAAACACAGTATTAAACATTCCATTTGAAAAAGCCATTTAAATACCTAATTTCAGTCCCTCAGGGCTAAAGATTAAAGATCAAACCTCCTTTATGTCCTGAAATGGTGTGGAAACTTAGAAATATGTATTTTTGCATTGCTTGTCTCTCCGTATGCTTTTGCATAATATTTTGAACACAGTAAGTTGGTCAAATGTTTCAATTTCTTGAGGAAATTGGAATGTGATCTACAAAACTGCAGTGAACTGTGGCCAAAATGATTCAAGCACAATACATACCTGAATGTTGATGGTCCAGAGTTTTGGGGAAACAGGTCCATTTGTCAAGCAAAAAACCCAAATTTTCCATGTTTTTCCAGTAATATAAACTGGACTGGTAAACCCTAAATTCCTCACATTCCGTAACTCCCTCTTGCCATTTATTTTTTTAAGGATTAACCAACTTAGGCCAAAAAGAGATCTCGTTTCTTAATATGATGGTTGCAGTTGGACATCTCTGCCAGTTGCAGGGCGCTTGACCGATGGGTTTGCCTTGAATCTTAGGAGAGGGCTCCCCCTCCTGAATCCAGAAGCCCTCCCAGGATATGTTGGGCCATCCTTTCTGTCGTTTTGATCTGTGTGGTTCTCTGCATCATGGTGGCAGCCGCTTTCAGCTTCAGTCCATCTTCTTCCAAGGTAAGGGGCTCCCCTACCCATTCCTAGCTTTTGCACGAGGCTACAGCAGCGTGCATTTCCAGGGAGTAAGCCTTGCTGAATTCAGAGGGACCTATTTCTGTGTAAACATATATAGGACTGTATTATCAGCAACTTAAGCCAGGGTGGGAGGAAGCCCCCTTAGTGCAAGCAGTGTGGTTTCCCCATGAACTGCAGCCAGCTCCTGGGTGTCTGTGCAGAAATGAGTGCTGATCCCTATCTCCCCCTTTGGCCGGTTCCTGCGCAGGGTGGTTGGCTGGACCAACTCTGGGAGCAGGACACACCCCGGAGACCACGGGGTCCAACCACTGCTCTGTGGCGGGCTGCCTGAGGCTCCTGCAGCATCCCTGGTGGGTGGGCACCCAGCCCCTGCCGGCTGGTGCTGGGGGTCAGACTAGATGGGCCGGGAGACCCCTTCTGACTCGCTCTGTTTCTCAACCCCCTCAGTGGAGGAGGAGCAAGCCTTTCCGAGGCAGGGGCTCTTCCAGACCCCACCTTTCTTCCTATTAAGCCAGCAGCTGCCCTCTGCAGGTTCCATCTGCTGGTCTGCTCTTGCCCTCCGGAACCGCAGAGAACAACTCCGCGTCACCTCCTGCTCGCTTTTGGAGGATCACGATGCTGTGTTCCTGGTCTTTTCCTGAGGCTAAATATGCTTGTCTCTCAGTCATCCCTCCTGGGGCTTGCTTTCCGGGCCCCTCGCCACCCCAGCCGCTCTCCTCCAGATGCACTCCCCCTTGCCAATGTTCTTCTTAAAATGTGGCTCCCTGAACAGGGCGCAGGACTCCAGAAGCCGCCTGCCTGGTGCAGCCGCCAGCCCAGAGGCCACAGCTCCGTCCCTTTCCCGCATCCACCGCCTCCTCTCGTGACAATTTCTGCAGGAGCGCTTCACCAGGTGTGAGAAAGGGCTTCCTTTTGCCCACCCTTCACCACACCTCCACTAAAAGCTCCGGAGAGGAAATGTTGTGCGAGCTATTCTTAGCTGTGCCCTGCTTGTGATTTGATCAACTCTCCTGTACCCAGACGTGTTTTCCAGCGTTCAAGATGCACGCTGCCCCGTCGCCCGCTCCGTGCCCAGACGCGCCCCAGGTGCCGGATGGAGCCCTGTGTCAGGGGACGGCCCGCCCGGCTGTTCCCGGAGTCACCCAGGCGCCTTTGTAGCCTCTTTTGCAGGTGGTCCGGCTGAACTTGCAGAACCGCCCAGGGTCCCCCATGAATCAGTCGGCCGTTGTGAGTAAGTCCAGGAATACCGTGACTTACTGTGTAACTTCCCCAAGTAACCAGACGACATCAGTCCTGTTTGACTGTAAGAATGTGAGTGTTTCATTGTTGCTGCCTCCAGAAGGGCACAGCAAAGGGCCGGGTGGGCCACAGCGCAGGGGCCTCTCGGGGCGGAGGGGCTGGCTTTCAGATGCAGCCCCCGAACCGCGACACTGCGGGGCGGCCCTGTGCCACGCTCTGCTGGCCGCCCGCAGTTGCTGGCAAGAGACCAGAGCAGGGACCGGGCCGATGCAGCCCCTGCCGGAAGCGTGTTGCCGCAGCCAGCAGGGGAATGGCGTCCACACTCCTCGCAAGTGCAATGCCGGGGCTCGGCTGTGGAGGGACACCCGCAGGCCTCGTGCCTGGAACGGGACGAGAGAAAAGGCCGAGGGACACACGCGGAGCATTTCCCCCTTCTTCCCGCCCCCAAGGAGCTCCCAACCGGGAGCAACTGGCATCGCCTGTCCTGCCCGGAGTGTTTCTCTTCCTTCCCCAAGCATTTCCCTTGTGTGTTGCACCTCTTTGATTGCAAGCTCGCAGCAAAGTCTGTCCCATTTGCTGATTCACAGTAAGCTGCTCCAGAAGCTCTTCCTGGCTGAGCAGCATGATAAAAAATACCGAAAATGTATGCAATAAGCGTATGCACACAACCGTGTGCTGGAAAGGCATAGTGTCCAGGCCAGGAGAGCGCCACTGCTGGGCGGCCTGCCCTGCTTCCTCCTCCTCCCCAGCTGAACCCCTTGGAGGCCCCCACCCCACCGGGAGAGGTGCCTGCAAGACCAGCCAGCCCCCCGGTGGAGCTGACCCCCCTCTCTGTGCAGGGGTATGTGTGCTACAAGCCTGCCGGGCAAAGCAGCTGCTACCTGAGGACGATGGAGGCCCAGGACCGAGAAGCCGTGCAGATGTCCTTCAACCTGTCGGAGCCCGGGGTGAGCAGCCCCTGGCCTGGCACTCCTGCCCGGCGGGCCGGTTCTCTCGGCGGAAGGAAGTGCAGGAGAAAAGGGCGCCGTCCGGGGGGTGTTGACAGACAGCAGCTGACGGCCAGCCCGGCGGAGCGGAGCCCTCCTGGGCCATGGCCAGCTATTTCCGCAGGCTGGTGGTGGCTCACAGCACCAGAGGGCAGCCTGGCAGGCTCACTATGGGTGGAAACGGGTCGTTGGGTCAGCGCTTGGTCTGACCTGGGAGGGCAACCCTGTCGCTCGGGAAACAGCTCTGTGCTGCCTCTGCCAGGGAGGCCCAGCCTCACAGGCCGGGCCCCTTCCCAGCCCTTTCGCCCAGCCCAGCTGAAGGTATTCCCGGCGTGTGCTCGGCTGCGGAGCGGGGCCCTCCTGGTGCCGGGGCAGGCGCACTGCAGAGCCCAGCGCAGCGCAGCTCCGAACACAGAACGCGCCTCTGCTGCCCGAGGCACCCTCCTGTCCGCCAGGCAAGCAACAGCGCTCTCCGCAGCAGCTTTTTGCCAACAGGTGCAGGCACAGAGCCGGTGGTTGTGCTGCTGCCAGCTTCAGCAGCACGGTGGCCACAGAAAAATGGCTTGTGTGCGGTGGGGGAAACAAACAAGCTGCACTGACCAAAGAGCAGGCGAGGGGCTTCTCTCCGTCGCTTCACAAGATGCAGGAGGCCATCTTCCCAAGGATATACCGCAGCCCTTCAAGCAACATGCGAACAGCTCCTTGGCCGAGGGCAAGGCGAGCCGTCACTCGAGGAAAGAGGGGCCTGGCTGGGGCTGAAGGCCAGCGCGCGGCTGCTTCTGGCTCCATTTTGCCGCCAGGCTCCAGGGCAGCTCTGCTAACCGCCCCCCACCCGGACTTGGCAGAGATGGAGGGACAGCTTCTGGCCTCTGCCACAGACAGCCTTGCGCCCAATTGGAACACTTGCCCCACGCCAGCAGCCTTGCCTGGAGAGGCCGAAAGCCACCCCCGGGCCCTCGCGGGGGCGCTCCCCTGGGAAGCAGGCTGGGTTCTAGAGAACCCCGGCCGGGCTCAAGCATGCGGCGCAGGCACACCACCCTGCCAGCGCTGCATGTTCCTACGCCTGGCGCCCGCTTCGGGGGCAGCGGCAGCACGGACGCGGCTGTGGGCGGAGCCGTGTGCTGTCCGCGATGCCCCGGGCAGGACGCGTGGGAGCAGGGAGGGCTCTGCAGGGCCCCGTCTCCACGTCTTGCCTCCTGCTTTCCAGGCTGACCAGCTTCTGCTTCCCAACGACAAGACCCAGTACTACCGCGAGTTCCTGGGAGTTGTGCCGGGGAGAGGGGTGCAGCCCGAGGAAGCAGGAGAAGCCACCCAGGCCCTGTGTGGGCAGCTGCCCATCTACTGGGTCAAGAGGAGAGACGGTGAGGTGCACCCCCCCAGGCCTTCTGGGGAGGGGGGGAGCAGCACAGCTAAAGCTAGTGTGGGGGAGGACACACCGGATGCCCCCACACGCCCTTGATGGTGTGGCAGGTCCAGCAGGGTGGCCCCAGAGGACGGCAACTCCCCGCTGCCCCAGCGGGACAAAGGGCCGAGGCAGAGCGCCGCCAGCCCTTCCCGGGGCCGGTGGGAGCAGCTAGGCCTGGTTCCCCTGCGCCGAGCCGCCCACTGCGACCAGCCCCCCCCCCCCGGCGGGAAGGATGAGTGCCAGCCCCACGCTGCACTCCAAATGCTGCACCAGGCGCAGTGCACGAGGGTCCGGGGCGCTCACACTCTGCTCCCTCCCAGCAACCCTGCAAGGGCTTGGTGGGCCGGACAGCCCCTCGGTCTGCCAGAAGGCAGGAATAGTCCAAGTAGCGGAGCCCTTCGCAGGCCCCCAGAGGCTGACCCCAACGGCGAGATCTAGGGAATCGCTGTGGAGAAGTGCCACTGCTACCAAACGCGGGGGAGTCCGCTTGTCCAGCGGAGCAGCAGCCTGCCTTCGTGTTCCGAATCCAGCGCACGGCCTCCCCCCCCCTCGGAACGCGGCTGCCCTCACGGCCCGTTTCCCTTGCAGGCCCTCCAAAGCAGCGGCTCATCTACCTGTGCATCGACATCTGCTTCCCGAGCAACATCTGCGTCTCCATCTGCTTCTACTACCTGCCCGAGTGACCACCCGGCCGCGGACCACCCCTCCCCGCCGCCAGCAGGGGCGAGCGCAGCCGCCTCAGCCCCCTGCGTCTCCGGGCTGCAGCAGGGCCCGCGGCCCCCCTCCGAGCACCACTCCCGGGCTGGGCCTCCAGCACCGCAGTTCCCCAGCAAGGATGTGTGGTGGTCCTATCGGTGTATGTGCTGTATGTGCAGAAAGTCCTACTTTCCACAGCAGCCGGTAAATAATTGCTCTTGGACAGAAGTAGTTGCATGAACTTTCGGTTGAGTCTGACACATACAAGCACGGTGTAAAACAATTTTTTCTAACCATTTTGTACAAGACTAGTTGTCCTGATGTGATACCAAATAAAAGCAGAGAATGAGGACTGATGGAAGTGGTGTGTTGGGCGTCAGCGAGAGAAACCAAGAGCTCCTGCAGCTGCTTACGAGACTCGCTGTGCATCTGCCCCGGCGACGAGCTTCCGGGGCCCTTCCGCAGCACTCCTGTGAGCCAGGATGAAGCACGGGCTGCGGGGAAGCCCAGCCTTGCAGCAAAACCGGCAACACCTTGTGGCACCTGCAGATCACGAATGCCGCAGGGAGCGCTCCATTACTTCTGACTCCGCGAAGGGTGGCGGCTGAAGGGCCTCTCGGGAAGGGCGGCTTTTCCCTCCTGTCCCAGACCTGTCCAGCCTGTGGCGTGCGGCCAGCAGTGTGGGAGGCGGCGGCTGGGAAGGCAGGTCGCGGGGTGCACGCTTGCCCGCCGGCAGCAGGCAGCCCACCTCTGCGGGGGCACGCAACCAACCTCCCGCTGCAGCCCCGTCCCTTGTTCTTAGTGGGAGGCGCAATGTGGAGCCGAGGTGAAACACCACGTCGGCAAAGCGGATCAAGGAAGGGGCCAGAACGGCTTAAGTGAAGGGGCGGGGCGTGCGGGTCCTCCAAGGGAGCCCGTTTCTCCACGAGTGACGGGCCGCTTGCAGACCTCCCACAGAGGACGGGGGCAGACCTCCGCACTCCCCTGGCCAGCCAGCATCCCCCACGCCTGCAGCTGCTGCACGCCTCCCCTGTGGCCGGGGGCATGGTGCAAGTCACCGGCACGCTCAAGCCACTGCGGCCTCCGCAGTCTTGCCTTCACCCCAACACACTGTCGTTGAACGCGAGGCAGACGACAGCCTTCTGGTGCCCGCTGTACTCCCTCTTGATCTCGCCCGTTTCCACACACCAAAGCCTGGCCAAATTGTCCGAAGAAGCTGGGGGGAAAGGAAGGCCGTGCAGTGCAGGCGGCTCCGAGCGCCCCTCGAGGGGAATGGCAGTCCGCGACGGAGCGCCTGGCAAGGGCCGCGCAGGGGCAGCCCCTCGCCCAGGCCTGCCTGCCCTCTGCCTGGCCCACGAGGCTGCCGGCCTCGCTCACGGGGCGGAGCTAATTCCGAGTGGGCAAGCAGCTGCACGGTGAACTCCATTTTCCCCCCAAGGCTGGGGAAAGTTCATCAGGGAAGTCCCCTGGATGCTCTGCTCCAGGCAGAGTCGCGGGGGGGGGGGGGGTCCCTGTCCACATGACCCGACCTTCCTCACCTGTGACAATGTACTGAGAATCGCCTGAAAAGGCGCAGTCCCACATCCAGCCACGGGACGTCTCACCGGGGTTGTTGCTCTTGATGCTCAGCTCCGTCATGAGAGAGAAGTTGGATGTTCTCCAGATCTTGCAGGTCTGGTCTGCGGAGCAAGTCGCCAGAAGCCTGGGACAAGGGGCAGGGGGAACGCGGCTCAGGGCCAGAACTCTCGCTGTCAGCGGGAAGCATCCGAAGCCCACACGCCACTCCCAGCGCGAAGGAGCGTGGGACACCGCTGTGGGCCAACTAAGAGGACGCGTGCAGGAGGGCTGCAGAGGCCCCCGAGTGCCGGGCGGAACTGCTGCATCAGCCTGGGAGCTGACCAGGGCAGCACCCCCGTTCCCTGCCGTGGCCGACCAGATGCCCAAGGCAGGGTGAGACGCTCTGCTGCACACCGAAGACACGCAGGAATGGACCCGAAGGGAGGGCTGTGTTTCCCGGGCATTCCAGTAATGTCTCTCTCCCTTCCTCGGGTCCGGCCTCTCCCTCAGAGGGGAACATCACCGACCGTCTGCAGCGCCAGCAGGACAGCGTTAGTCACGCAGCGCGCGCGCCACACTCCTGCTCAGTGCTCAAGGCACCCCGTGCACATTCTTTGGCAGGCGCTTCCTAGTGCGCAACTACGCCACTGCGGCTGCTGCTCTTTTCCGCACCTTTCGCCACTGGGGCGTGCGCTCATGTGCGCAGAGGACCAAAAAGGCCACCTCGGCCTGGCTGCTGCTACTGCTTAGCTGTGGCCGAGATGGTGACTGGGCTGCTTATCTTCCAGGCAGGGTGAGGCTCACCAAGGAACCCTCAGTTCCCCAGTACACAAGGATCCCTCTTGCTCTTAACACAAGCCCAGAATCCATTTCAACTGGTTCGTTGCCCCATCCAGGCTTTCCCTGAGAAATGACTGAACCAACCATGGCTGGTTTTCTGCATTGCTGGGTGGTTTGTTTTCCATTTGCAGCCAACACCAAGCCATGGGCTGCATTCTTGCTTAACACCCACAGTTAACTTGTACTTCCGGGCTCACACGTATCGACGACTCATAATTCAACAAGCGTGTGAGGCATGTTTTTCCACGCGAACAGGGTCAGCTGGAAAGCTCCCACCATGAAGCACCATCCCGACTCCAGTGGCGGCAGCGGCGCAGCACCAGGAGGATGGAGGAGAGGGCTTCTGGAAAGACCCCCGCCCCCACCGCTCCTTGGCCCCCGCCAACACTCGGGAGGGCAGAGCCTGCAGCCGCTGTGCCGGGCAACCGCCCGAGGGACAGGAAGCGCTTCCCCGTTGCGGCACGCGAGCCTGGCAACTTCCCCGCACCATCCCGCTGCAGGAGGGCCGCTCCCTCGAGTGCCATCCCCGCAGGACCACCAAGCCCGTGGTGGAGGGTCCTCAGAAAGCGGTGCTGCACCATGGCAGCCCCCTGCCCCAACGAGGCGCCCCCCTCCAGGCCACTCACGTGGAATCTGGGCTGAATTTGCACCGGAGAGCGTAGCGGTTGTGTGCAGGGATCTTGGTCTTGGGGATAAGCTGGGTCACCTCATCTCCAATGCCACCCGTGAGATTCCACACGTAGCAGTTGCCCTGAGGGGAGAGGCAGAGGGGCTCATGCCAAGACCCTCAGGGCCCCAGCCCTCCTCACCGGGTGCCCTCCCGAAGCCAGGGCAGAAGCTGCATGTGGCCACGCCGCAGCCCCCCCGCGGGCCACACTGGCTGCCCGCACTTACAGAGCTGTTGACGGCAGCCATGTAGCTGGCGTCGGGGTCGATGTGCACAGAGTTGACGGAGACCTCCGGCTCTGGAATGAGCTGCTCGTTGTGGTCGGTCTTCAGGTCCCAGATGTGAATGGCCCCACTCTGGTCCCCAACGATCAGCTCCGCCTGCGTGGGGAGAAATGCAGCCAGAGCACCATCCTGCGAGGGCACATGCCCCTTGAGCCCCGCGGCCGGCGCCAGGGAGCACCCGAGGAAAGCAGGGGAGGTACCGAGAGGAGGGTCTCCTGCTCTGGGCCGAAGCAGCCACGTACCTGGTTGGGGTGCAGGCAAACACAGCTGATGGGCGCGTTCACTTGGAAAATGCGCTGGCACTGGAGGTTGCGTGACCTGCAGCAAACGCAGCCAGCACAGCGGCAGTGAGCCCCAGGCTTGACGCTGGTGCATCTGGGAGCGCCAGGCCCGTGGGGAGCCGCCGGAGCCGCCAGACCTCCCCCTCTGCCCCCCCCCCCCCCCCCCCGCGAGGATCACGCCCTGCCCCTGCAGACTCTGGGGCGTCAACTGGGATGCACAACGGAACACCTGTGGCCCCTTGGATTTGCAAGGTTTCCCTGCAGGCTCTTGCTTTTCTACCGGTTTTTGTTCCCTGACTTTGGGACAAAGCACAACCGCATCCTGCCGACTTTACTAATTTTGCTTTAAAGATAACGGCTTGCAAGGCGCCCAAACCAACGGTGCCCCCAAGCCAAGCGGGAACCCCCCCCCCCCCCGGCCGCAACACAGCAGACCAACGTGCCGTGCTGGCACCCCTTGGGCCAAGTGGGAGGCCTGCATTCAGACCCCGACAGCATCTCCAGGGACAGAACCCTCCCCGAAGCCCTGGAGAGCCCACCTGCGGGGCAGGGCCTGGACTCGCACACGGTGTGCCCCTTCTCTCCAATGTCGCTGTTTATGCATGATCTGAGGAGAGACGCTGCTGTCCTGGGACCTGTAAAACTGCCAGCCTGTCCTCGGGAAGCATCAGGTCATGTACCACTGCCCCTTTTCTATGACTTGCAATCCACTAGAACTCATCCAGAGTGAGGTTTCTGATGCCGGCAAAGGGCAAGAGGCCCAAAAGGGCAAGAGGCCCACCTGAGGTCCCAGATACGGGCCATGCAGTCTTCACCACCTGTGTACATCCATCGGCCATCTTCGTGGAAGCCAACGGAGGTCATGTTCTTGCTTACCCCATCGTAGTTGATAACGGGATTGGGGTTGTTGGAGTTCAAGTCGTACATTCGGATGTGCTGATAGCCTGGATGAAAGACACGCCGAGTACTGCTGAGGACCTGGCTAAAGAAGAGGCAGCCCGGCCATCATGCACCTGCCTGGCAGGCGTGTTGCTGGCCCAAATCTCTGCCCCGGAGCCCCGAGTGTCCGCCGAAGCCGACGGAGGGTTTTGCCTCTCTCAGCCACCACGCAGGGGATGCTTCTCAGGCAGACTAAAGCTGGGAGGGAAGCATTCTCCCCACACAAATATTTCCCTGTGTGGCAATCAAGCTTTAAAATCCTTTCCCATTGATTTGGGGCGATCTGCTTCAGGATGCAGATTAAGCAAATCATTTATTTGAGGTTATTTGGATGAAAAATCAAAAATCAATTGATTTTTCATGGTTTTTTCTTATGAAATTCAAACAGACCCTTCATTACTTTTAAACACAATACACATAGGCACAAGTAGATCTGTGTCCCGCGGCCCTCGGCCACACCTGGACAGCTGCCGCAGGGACCCTGCTGGCTGTTTCTGAAGATCCATGCGCCTCCCAGAGGCCCCCATGACCTACAGAGCCCCTTTCATTCAAGCTCTTGCATTCCCAATCACCATATGTGGGTGCGAAAGCTGACAGGAAGAAAACGGATGCATCTGGCACATGGTGCTGGAGGAGAGCTTTGTGAATATGGTGGACAGGCAGAAAGACGAGCAGGCGGGTCCTAGAACAAATCTAGCTGGACCTTGCCCTGGAAGCAAAAGGGGTGAAGCTGAGGATTTTGCACTTTGGGCATGTCGAGAGAAGACAAGACTCACTGGAGAAGACAATTATGCCAGGGAAAGCCGAAGGCAAAAGAGCAGGAGGAAGACCAACCATGAGATGAATCAGTTCCATAAAGGACCCACAGCTGGTTTGCTCGGGGCTAGGAAGGACAGGCATTTCGGAAGGCATTCATTTGTAGGGTTGCCGTACGTTGGAGGTGACTTGGCAGTACACCACCACAACAAAGGCAAGCACACAGAGCCTCTTCCCACGTACTCCTTTCGACCCCACCCCAGCTGCACAGACAAATGGGGTCAGATGGGGTCTTCTTTACTGAGCCTCCTCAGTGCCTGGTAGCCGTCTGTTGCCTGCAGTTTCTGACATACACAGTAAGAGCCAGGCTACACCCAGTTTCACCAACAGTCCAAGACAGGTGAAGGGTAAAACACTAAGATACCATGCAAAGGAGGTTGGGGACATGCGGGGAAGGCTGTCTGCCCGGTCTGCTTGGGTTTCCTCCAGTCACAAGGCTGCTGGGCGCAGAGCTGCCAGGGAGGGGAGCGAAAACCCCACCAGGCCAGGAGACGACCACGCAGGTTCTTCTCTCCTCCTCTGGACTTGCTTGGGGGCCTCACCAATAGGCTTGGCTGCTCCCCAGAAAGAGAACACAACCTCAAAGAACCAAGGCCCAAACCAGAACCTGCCAAAGCAAGCCCCGGGTGTGCATGGAAGGAGAGGAGCAGGCATTTCCAGGGATCCAAAAGAAGCCCAGCACACAACGAGAAATGCGCCTGCAGCTGTGGCATTAACGTGGGGCTGGAAATGAGCCACCTGGCCCAGAGCACACCTGCCCTCAAGCCATGGAATCCTGGAACTGCAGCTTCGGGTCAATGTGCAGAACCTGCCTGCTGCAGCCTGTCTCTTGCTTCGTCATAGAACTACAATTTCCAGGATTCCTTGGCAGAAAAAACCATCTGTGCTGGATGAGGAACTAGCTTCTGCCACCGGTGTAGACGTCTCCTTGAACAGACAGGTTTCTGCTCTCGGTGGTCTCTGCCGCGGCACACGTACCTGCAGCTGCTATCATGGTGCGGTCCGGGGTGATCTCCAGTGCATTGACCTGCTGTAGTCATGGTTAAGGATAAGAGGAGCAGCTCGATGGGATGGCCAGAGGCAAACACACGCACAAAGACCAGCTCAGGAGAGCCAAAGCCTCCCCTCCGAGTGCTCTCAGCACGGCAAAAGGATACAGAATCTTGGTGCTGGACGGTGCGGGTGCAGATCCCGCTGTGGGCCTGCCAGAAGCGGACCGTGTGGTCATACCCAGCGGTGGCCAGGATGACCGGATCACTGCCGACTGTGCCTTGGGTTGTGTTCATGGCTCCAGTGCCGAGGGGTCAGGAGAGGAGAGGAGAGCAGAAGCGGGGATTCCCCACAAGCCTTCAGGCAGGCAGCTGGGGAAGGGCCAGGCGAGAGCCGAGAGGGCGCCAACGCGCTCAGCCCGCGTCCCTCTTGTCCCACGGCGCCTCCGAGGCTCCGCTGGCGTTCCCAGCCTCAGTTCCCCATCTGTGAAATGGGAATACCTGTGAACCGCGGCTGCGTGGCCGAGTATCCAGGCGGCACGCAGAGCACAAGGCAAGTTCCCGAGCGAAGGCCCTCGGAGCTCCCGACCAGCGCGGCCCGGAGGCGCTGCGCGGGGGCCTGTGTCTCGGCACGGCGCCGGCTGGGTCGGATCACCCGGGCGGACAGGGGGGCCCCCCGCGCGCCATGCGCTCCGCCGGCGCCCTCGGCCCCGACGCGCACGCTGAACGCCGGGGCGCACAGGCCCGAGCGCGCCACGCGTCCGGCCCGCGGCTCTCCAGCCTCGCGTGCACCGCCGCGCCCGGCACCCTCGGAGCGGGCGGGCGGGCGGGCGGGCCGGCCGCGCGGCCGGGG